TCCAGCTTCTTTTGTTCAGCCTAATATATGTGAGATACATTCATGTTGTTGTATACATTAGTAGTTTGTTTCTTTTTGTTGTAAAGTAGTACTTTGTTTTTTGGATGTGACACAGTTTATCCTTTATACTATAAGTGGATACATAGGTTTTAAAATTTTAGCTATTATAAATAAAGAAGGTATATACATTTTTGTACATGACTTTCTGTGGGCACATGTTTTCATTTATTTTGGTCAAATACCTACTAGTTGAATTGCTGGGTCCTAATAAGAGAAACTTCTGTTTATTTTTGTTTATTTATTTTTATTTTTATTTATTTATTTTTGAGATGGAGTCTTACTCTGTCGCCCCAGGCTGGAATGCAGCGGTGCGATCTCTGCTCACTGCAACCTCTGCCTCCCAAGTTCAAGCGATTCTCCTGCCTTAGCCTCCCGAGTAGCTGGGACTACAGGCACCTGCCACCATGCCTGGCTAATTTTTGTATTTTTAGTAGAGGCGGGGTTTCACTATGTTGGCCAAACTGGTCTTGAACTCCTGACCTCAGGTGATCTGCCCACCTTGGCCTCCCAAAGTGCTGGGATTACAGGCGTGAGCTACCGCGCCCAGCCTTATTTATTTATTTTGAGACGGAGTCTCACTCTGTCACCAGGCTGGAGTGCACTGGCGCAATCTCGGCTCACTGCAACCTCCACCTCCCGGGTTCAAGAAATTCTCCTACCTCAGCCTCCTGAGTAGCTGGGACTACAAGTGTGCACCACCATGGCCAGCTAATTTTTGTATTTTTAGTAGAGACAGGGTTTCACCATGTTGGCCAGGATTGTCTCGATCTCTTGACCTTGTGATCCACCCACCTCTGCCTCCCAAAGTGCTGGGATTACAGGCATGAGCCATCATGCCCGGCCAACCAATAATTTCTTGACTTGTCTTTCTTACAGATTGATATCGCAGAGCTGGGCATGGTGGCTCACACCTGTTATCCCAGCACTTTGGGAGGTGAGGCAGGTGGATCACCTGAGGTCAGGAGTTCGAGACCAGCCTGGATGACATGGTGAAAACCCATCTCTACTAAAAATACAAAAATTAGCCGGGCATGGTGGTGCATGCCTATAATCCCAGCTACTAGGGAGGCCAAGGCAGGATAATCGCTTGAACCTGGGAGGCAGAGGTTGCAGTGAGCCGAGATCGTGCCACTGCACTTCAGACTGGACAACAGAGTGAGAGACTCTGTCTCAAAAAAAAAAAAAAAAAAATTGGTATCTCAGGAGACAGAAGAAATAATTCTCAAAACTTATGTTCTAGACTTAGTAGAATACATTTTTCACATGGTTATAGAGATCTTTGCAGAAAGCAACCACATGAGAGACACTGTGGTATAGTAGTAGACTTGGCTTCAAATCCCAGTCACCTATGAGCCATATAATCTTGGACAAGTTACTTAATCTTTCTGAGCCTCAATTTCATCATCTGTAAGATGTGAATAATATCTGTCATATAGGATGATTGTCAGGATTAGAACCAATCTATGAAACATTACTGACATGTATTAGGCACTCAATAAGTAGCACCTATTTTCATTATTACTATGGAAAGAATGGTAGATTTTACAAAGTAGAATAAAAAATTAGATATGATCCCAAGACTGAGACTCTAAAAGAGGTAGACAGCTTTTTAAAAATTTATCAGAAAAATATATTTACTTGACTCATAGCATTGCCCATATTATGGTGCTAAGTACACATTTGGCACAACTTACCTCTTTCTTCTCAACCTTCCTTTGCTTACCTCTGGGACTGCAAGTGATTCTAATGATTAAAAAAATGGTATGGGAAGAAAGTATTAGTGCTATAAAGAAGTTCTCTGATTAGCTAAAATTGTAAAAGGTTGAGAAACAAACATAGCACCAACTTGTCCAGGTTTTGAGAGTTCAGCTCAGTTGCTGTATTAAGCACATTATACAGATTATATTCTTCAATCCTTTTAGTTTGGGGCCTACAAATTATTAGAAGATGATTGCTATGTGGACATTTGTCATTTTCCTGGTTGCCCAGCCTCCATGTTACCATTATGCATTTGGGAAGCAGGACATTGTGTAAAGCAGGGCCCTGGATCTCATTCATGGAAGCCAAAAGAACTTGGTATCAGTTTTCTCTGATTATGATTCTGGAAAGAAGAGTGAAGAGAAGCAGGCAATGTGTAAAGTTCATTCAGTAAATTTTAGTGAATTTCAGTGGTGGTGACATTCAATATTCAGTACCAGTAACAGCAGCTAGGTCATCTATGGCATCCAGTCCCCAGGACCAGAGCCTGAATGGCAGGGCCAGTGGCATTGCCAGTGTCCAGCAGAAGCATCCTTCCTCTGGCATGGTCTCCTCTGTGGGTCTGGCCACCTGGCCTCCCATGGTGCCTGTCTATATTACTAACCCAGTTCTCTAACCTTTCTACTGATTCTTTCAGCTCCTCAATACTCTTTCAAGAAATTCCTTTTCTGCTTTGGTTAACCAGAATCAGCTTTTGTTGCTTGCAACCATGGACTCTGGCTAGTAGCTAGTCTTTAGGTAATGTGCAACCCTAAAGACTCCAGTGCTGCTTATTTTAGTAAAAATCCCTTAATAAAGTCATGGTCAAATTTGCAACTGGTCTAGGAGTTCTGTGAGGGCTCGCTTTAAGGCCCATACACCTCAGGCAAAAGAAGAAATACCAAGGAAAGGGGCTGTTGTCTCTTGACTCTCAAACATCTGCTGCCCCACCCTTATCCACCTCTTTCTTTGCCTCCTACAACGTCTTCACACTCACTCATCCACCCCTTCAACAAACACTTATTCAGCACCTACTATGCACAAGGCATTATGCCAGGCAATAAGAGGAATCTAAAGATCAATAAGCTAACCCTGACAGTATACTTTTGAATTTTGAACTGGCAAATGTATTTTCTTTTCAAAATACATAAAATTTTAAAATGGATCACTCTGTCGAAGGTAGAAGTGAAAGGGAACCCTTTTGATTTGTGTCACTGAGGGCAAGGTGATGTTCATTTCTTTGTAAATGTTCTAGAAATCACATAGATTCCTTTGTTAGAGGTTTCCAGTCAAAAGCAAACCAATAGCTCTCCAGAGGATTGAGAAAATAATGCCCCTTCTAAAGTCAACAAGTAGATTGCTGCTCATTAAGATCCGTGTGACTCAGGTGAAAGATGGTGGAGTTAGTGCCAGTGCATTAGAAATGCCACTCAAAATAACTGAGTCCTAAAATAGAATCAAATAAACATCAGTTTCAAATGAAAAATATTATCCAGCTTATTTCGGTCTCCTTAAATTGCCAAATAAATACTTGGGATCCTATAATACAGCAGTTGCCCCGGGGAGTGTTGACACTTACATCTAAAACCACAGAATACTCAACACAAGCAAGGAAGATGGGCACACATTAGAAGTGCAAAGTATTCCATCACATACTTCTGAAAAAAAAAATGCAAAGTAAAACATGTAAAGCAGATTATTTCATACATTCAGGAAAAACTGGTCAGGCACATACACACTTTACAGGAGTGTGAACTGAGGCATTGAGCACTCACAAGACCCTCACCTGGAAACAATCAGGAAGTCTGATCTAGGAATCAGACTCAGCTTTGGGGTCAGCTCTTCACTTCCCAGCTGACTTTGGACAAGCCACTTAGCCACTCTAGGACTCGGTTAGTTTCTTTATCAGTAGGTTAGAATAGACAAAATATCAGCATTGAAGGGAACCTTAGCGTTCACCTCAATCAATTTTTAACTTGCACCTGACTTTTCTTTGAAGCATCCCTAACAAGCTTCTCTACTTGAATGTTTACTTTTAGTGACAGGATATGCTCTCCAGGCAACTGACGTTATTATTATCATGATTTTTGGGACAGTCTCGCTCTGTCGCCCAGGCTGGAGTGCAGTGGTGCAATCTTGGCTCACTGCAAGTGAAGCTTGCACTCCGTCTCCAGTGTTCAAGCAATTCTTCTGTCTCAGCCTCCCGAGTAGCTGGGATTACAGGTGCCCACCACCATGCCCAGCTAATTTTTGTATTTTTAGTAGAGATGGAGTTTCAACATGTTGGCCAGGTTGGCCTCGAATGCCTGACCTCAAGTGATCTACCTTCTTTGGCCTCCCAAAGTGCTGGGATTACAGGGGTGAACCACCGTCCCCCGCCAACTGATGTTATTTTTGAAATACTCTGATTGTTAGAAAAATTCTTCCTTACATATTAAATTGCAATGCATCTCCTTATAGTTTCCTGCATCCTAGAGGCCTCTAAGGTCATGTAGGTTAGGTCTAATCCATAGGACTACTTTTTTGAAAAGGCCTCAACTTCCCCTTCTCTTACTTTTCTTTTTTTTTCTTTTTTTTGACGGAGTCTTGCTCTGTGGCCAAGCTGGAGTCCAGTGGCGCGATCTTGGCTCACTGTAACCTCTGCCTCCAGGGTTCAAGCGAGTCTCCTGCCTCAGCCTCCCAAGCAGCTGGGATTACAGGTGTGCACCACCACGCCCAGCTAATTTTTGTATTTTTAGTAGAGATGTGATTTCACTGTGTTGGCCAGGATGGTCTCGATCTCTTGACCTCGTGATCTGCCCACCTCAGCTTCTCAAAGTCCTGGGATTACAGCCGTGAGTCACCGTGCCCGGCACCTTTGGTTTTTCTCTTCTGCAAGCTAAACCACCCCTCTCCCCTTCAGTTGCCCTCATCTGTCACATTCAAGAGAAGACACTATTCTTGTTTTCATGTTTTATGGGTGTAGAGTGGTGGTTAAGCACCCTGAACCCTCAGGTAGTCTGAATTCGAATACTGGCCCTGTCACTTAGTAGTTGTGTGTCATGGGCAAGTTATTTTCACTTCTGTAGCTCAAGTTTCTCTCTCTTGAAAATGAGGATAATAATGATACCCATCTCTTGGAGAAGTTGTGAATGAGATAATTGAGACAGTACAAGTAGAACATTTAGTATAGTGCCTGGCCCTTAGCAAGCAATACGACTACTACCAGCAGTAGTAATAAATAATAAGCCCTAAATTAAGCCCTAAAAATGAAAATAAGAATAAAAGAACTGGCAGAGTGAGAAAAGCTAATCTAGTCCATTCCTGACGCTACAAACAAGGTTTGGTTGCCCCGATATGAAAGTTTACATGTGTTTCATAGCAACTATCACTTTCAATGGTGGATTTAGTGTCTAGGACAAGAGCCCAAGAAGGCCAGGACTTTGTCTATCGTGTTAACTGTTGGGTTCTCTGTGCCCAGAACAGTGTCTTGCTCCCAGTAGAGTGAAAGAATGGACCAACACCGTCATGTCATGGAAGAGACTGGCCGACCTGGCTAAGGTTGTGCAGGGCTCCCAGGAGAGCTGGGGCACGAACCAAGGGCTCCTCGGCAGCCAACACTCAGAATTAAATCGAGGCCCAGCCCTAAAGTTCGGTGATTCCGGCAGGAGCACAGGTATCCAATAATATCGGCGTCAGCATTCCCACCGGGTGGCCTAAATGCCGGCTCCTGTTTTCGGGATGATGGGTCAGCGGAGAAGGTGGCTTAACGAGAGGCCGCGGGAGGTTGGGTGCCGGCAGGTAGCTAAACTCTGCCTGCAATGCTTCGGGTTGCTGCCAGTCAGGGCACGGTTCCGAGCCGGCCGGGACTGACTCCGGGAGCAGCGAACAGAAAACAACCTGGCTCCAGAAAGACAATTAACAAAGGCTGGGGACCAGCCACCCCCTCGCGGCGCACACACGCAGGCAGCAGCGTGGACATAGCTGCGCCCGCCAGCGCCCTCGGTGGGCAGAGCCGCGCGGAGCGGCGCGGCGCGGGTGCGGGGAGCTGGGCGACGCCCCTCTCCCGCCCCAGCTGCGCTGTCTCCCGGGCGGCCAAGCTCCGTGCGTGAGCGCCGGCAGGCACCTTGCGCGCGCGGGTGAGTACGCCGGGCGACTGGGGCCTGGTCAAGCAGGATGGGGCCGGGGAGGGGTGCAGGAAACAGCTGCTGGTAGGATCAGAAAAGGGAGGTGGGTCAGAGAAAGGCAGGATGCGACGACCTCCTGGGTCCCAACTTGCTTGGTAACTAGCTTTGTGTCTTGAGCCTTATGGGAATGTAAGCCACCTGGTCCATGTGGCCTACCTTAGTCGTTTTACAGGTGGGAAACTGAGGCCCAGGGAGGTAAGCTGGCCAGGAAAAACATTATTATTCTTTGTTCCTGTTTCTCTTTGCCTTCTTCCGTGCGGGATTTGAGACAGCTTTCAGTAAGAATGCATACATTGTAACAATGGAAAAATACAAACAATGGTAAAGAATCCTTGCCAAGCAAAATATAATTTTGAATAGACAGTCAAGGCCAGGAAAAAAGAGAACAGAAATCCGTGATCCATAGGTGAGGTGACTTGGCTAAGGTCCCTCAGAAAAGTGGTGACAAAGCTGGGACTAGAAGTCAGAACGTCCGGCTTCTGAACGCCAGAAACTTACAGTGGGGAAGCGGACAGCCTGCCCAGGCACTGGTTCTTAACCTTCTGGGGGTCCCTGACCCCTTAGAGATCTGTGTCCACTCCCCGTAGAAGGGTTCACAGAAGGCCTTGTACGCAGTTTGAGATTTGACATGAATTCCTGCAGGCTGGCACCCAGGCACGGTGGTTTCAAAGCACTTTCTTTGCTCCTTTGAAGGGAGGCAGCTGGTGGAGGAGTACTTGCCGTGTGTCCAGACAGCTAGCTGTGTGATCCCGGAAGCAAAGTTTAACCTCTTCAAGGCACAGTTTTATGTGTAGACTGGGGATAAGAGTATCTGCTTCATCCTCCAGGTTACTGTCAGACTTAAGAATGAACGTAAAGGCCAGTGCCTGACATAATATATGCTCAATAAAAGTGCTGAAGATTATGGGGTGACTATAGTTTACAATAATCTGTTGTATATTTCAAAATAGCTAGAAGATAATAATTTGAATGGTTCTAGCATAAAGAAAAGACAAATATTTAAAGTGATAGCTATCCCAAGTACACTGATTTGATCTTTATAAATATATTAAAGTATCACAGGTACCCTGAAACTATGTACATCTGTTATTAATTATTATTATGCATTAATTTTTTAAAAAGTGATGACACACAAAACCCAGTGAATCAAAACTGTGCTAGTTAGGAAAGGGTGATGACCTGGAAGAAATTGGGTTGTATCTGAAATAAAATACAATTCAAAAAATTATAAACATGAAAAACTAAAGTCAGCCCTATTATGACTTGTAGACCACACCACGTACCTTCGTGATGGTATCCTAAATAAGGGTGCGGCAAGACACTACCCTCAATATTTGACTCCAAGTCAAAAGCTGAAAGTAGAAACTACCAGATACTGTAACAAGGAGTGTTTATTGGGCTTCACTTGCCTCTTTCAAATGGGGTCAACACCTATAGAGTTTTGTTTTGTTTTGTTTTGTTTTTAGACGGAGTCTCGCTCTGTCTCCCAGGCTGGAGTGCAATGGCATGATCTTGGCTCACTGCAAACTCCACCTCCCAGGTTCAAGCAGTTCTCCTGCCTCAGCCTCCCAAGTAGCTGGGACTACAGGCACACGCCACTACGCCTGGTTAATTTTTTGTATTTTAGTAGAGACGAGATTTCACCGTGTTGCCCTGGCTGGTTGCAAACTCCTGAGCTCAGGCAATCCACCCACCTTGGCCTCCCAAAGTGCTGGGATTACAGGCGTGAGCCACAGTGCCTGGCCTATAGAGTTTGTTTTTAAATGAGAAGAAAGAGGACGTAAACTGGGACCTGAGCAGCACTCACCCTTGCCCAGCAATAGAGCCTCAGCTGAATTTCTGCCAGGGAATAGGAGTTGCTGGCAGTTGGCTCACATCCCTCTTGGATCAGCAGATCACTGTGGTAAACAGTGCCTTGGTTGATTCTGCCCTAGATCAAATAAATGACTTTTTATTTAACTAATGAGGTAGGGAATGTGTTTTCGTGTGCTGTAACAGAAGCAAAATGGCCTTTGTAGAGCTTGACGGTCCAAAGCCTATTGCTTGTTTATTGATAGGCTAAATAATTTATTTATTTGTTTATTTCGAGACAGGGCCTCCTTGCTCTGTCACCCAGGCTGAGTGCAGTGGTGCAGTCACAGCTCACTGCAGCCTCAACCGCCCAGGTTCAAGCAATCCTTCTGCCTCAGCCTTCTGAGTAGCTGGGACTACAGGCATATGCCACCATACCTGGCTAATTTTTTACATTTTGTAGACACAGGGTCTTGCTATATTGCCCACGCTGGTCATGAACTCCTGGATGCCAATGATCCTCCCACCTCAGCCTCCCAAAGTGCTGGGATTACAGGTGCAAGCCACTGCACCCAGAGAATTTTATAATTCAAATAATTGTTATTATTTTCTTAATTCCCTAATACTGGAAGGCTCGAGAACTTTAAATCTATGGATCCAAACTTGTGATGACAGAGCCTGGGCAGGCCCACTTATCTATAAAAATGACTGCTTTACAAAAGATACTGTGTTGTCTCCCTCCTCTTTTGGAAGAACTTTTTAGACCTTCAAACAGAGCTGGGGAAATAAGGCTAAGGACAAATAGTTGCTATTTGATTTGAGTTAAGACACATGTCCTCTCCATGTATTTATAAAGGGGAGGTTTTCCTCCAAGAAGGAGAGAGAGAGAATGTGTATGGGGCAAGGGGATGTCTGTTGCTCTCTTTCCGCCTCAATTGCAATCATTTATTTCTCAACACAGAGAAGTCCTTTTCTGTAAGCACAGTGACTTGGAAAATTCCTTCCCTTCTTGGCTCTGTGGCTCTATTTTGTTTCACGGTAGTTTCTAAAATATTAGAATGTTTTTTCTAATTTGACTATGAACTCTTCTTTATATGTTTCTTTTTCTTTTTTTTTTCCTTTTCTTTTTTTTTTTGAGATGGAGTCTTGCTCTGTTGCGCAGACTGGAGTGCAATGGCATGATCTCTGCTCGTAATAACCTCCACCTCCTGGGTTCAAATGATTCTCCTGCCTCAGCCTCCTGAGTAGCTGGGATTGTAGCTGGGATTACAGGCATGTGCCACCACATCTGGCTAATTTTTGTATTTTTAGTAGAGACAGGGTTTCACCATGTTGGCCAGGCTGGTCTTGAACTCCTCATCTCAGGTGATCTGCCTGCCTTGGCCTCCCAAAGTGCTGGGATTACAGGCATGAGCCACCATGCCTGGTCTTCTTTACATGTTTCTATATTGTTTACCTAGATATATAATGAGCAAGAGCCTCTTTCATTGTTTAAACAATTTTTTAAAAATGTTGTCCAAAGAATATATATGGGTGGCAAATAACCACTTGAAAAGATATTCAAGATCATTACTCATTAGGGAAATGCATGTTAAAACCACAGTGAAATATCACTTCATAACTATTAGGATGGATACAATGAAAAGATTGGCTCTACCAAATGTTGACCAGAAGGTAGAGGAACTGGAACTCTTATATACCACTGGTTGCAATGTAAAATGGTATAACCACTTTAAAAAAGACCTTAAATACAGGCTTAACTTATAAAGTTAAATATACACTTATCATGTTATCCAGAAACTTCACTCCTAGGTCCAGCTTTATTGTAGTAGTGAAACAGGAAACAAACAGGTGTTTATTCAGTATATGAAGAGACAAATTGTGGTATATCCATATAACAGAATTTTGCTAAGCAATGGAAAGTAATGATGTATTGATACATGCTTCCATGTGAATGGTTCTCAAAATAATTTTTCTGAGAGAAAGAAGCCCCAGGCAAAAAACACCACAGTGTGTACTACTACATAGTACATACTGTATTATTTATTTAGAGATGGAGTCTTGCTCTGTTGCCCAAGCTGGAGTACAGTGGCGTGATCTCGGCTCACTACAACCTCCACCCCATGGGTTCTAGCGAGTCTCCTGCCTCAGCCTCCCAAGTAGCTGGGGTTACAGGCGTGTGCCACTATGCCCAGCTAATTTTTGTATTTTTAGTAGAGACAGGGTTTCACCATGTTGACCTGGCTGGTCTCGAACTCCTGACCTCAAGTGATCCGCTTGCCTCGGCCTTCCAAAGTGCTGGAATTACAAGTGTGAGCCACTGTGCCTGGCCTGTATTTTTCATTTGATATAAAATTCAAAGGGAGTTGATATTCCATACCTGACCTCAAACTTTTTGATGGCTTGCAAGAAGAACCAAGAGTCATGTACGATCATATCAGTCTAACTCCAGTTGCAACAATGTCATTGACAATTTGATCTTTATTCTGCCAGTGTTTGCCCATGTCATTCATTCATTAATTCAGTTAATTGAGCACCAACTATATGCTAGATCTACAGTGAACACTAGGTAATGCACATGATCCCTGCCCTAATGGAGTTTACATTATATTGAATGAAACTCTGAGTAATAAAACAAATAGAATAAACAAAACAATTATCACGGGAAAGGAGTGGTTCTTTGAAGGATGATGAAAGTCAGGGGTAGACTTGTCTGGGTTTCAAGCAGAGAAGTAAAGTGACCAATTTCATGTTTTTTTGTTTTTTGTTTTTGTTTTTGAAATGGAGTCTTGCTCTGTTGCTCAGGCTGTGCAGTGGCACTATCTCGGCTCACTACAACTTCCGCCTCCCAGGTTCAAGTGATTCTCCTGCCTCAGCCTCCCAAACTGGGACTATAGGCATGCACCACCATGCCTGGCTAATTTTTTTCTTTAATCTTCAGTAGAGATGGGTTTTTGCCAGTGTTGGCCAGGTTGGTCTCAAACTCCGGACCTCAGGTGATCTGCCCACCTCGGCCTCCCAAAGTGCCGGGATTACAGGTGTGATCCATCATGCCCGGCCCAATTTTATGTTTTTGAAAGACCACTCCACTCTGATGCTGTGTATCCAGTCAGGAAGCTGTTGTACCAGTCCAGGAGAAAGGTGGTGGAGGTTTAGACCCA